CATTCTATCCCACTACTTTTCATTGCATTGTGTAATGAACGTCCCTCCACATTTTCACATTGGTTGGTGAAGAGAAAAAACATAGCACACTCTTTAGAACTTATTGAATAGGCTTTGGTTTCACTCCAGATGGCTCTGAGCTGTCTGTTGTAACTGAGAGATCTTTGTCATGGGCTGCTTTGTTATTGCAATTGCCAATGGTTTTATCACCTCTCTTCCATCTTACTCTATAATTACTGTCTAGCCTCATGTAAAGTGTCACCCTTGAAAACACTGATTGTCAGTCTGATTTAGAGATAGCAAATGTATTCTCTGGCAGTGCAGAAAGTACAGCAAGCTTCACCTCAGCCCCCACTCGAAGCACCACGAAAAATGTAAACAGATAAACTCTTGTTGTGTAAATGTCATATTTTTCAGTGTACGAGGGGCCACCAAGCTACCAGCTGGAGAAACACCTTCGCACATCAGGCAAGGAACTCATATTTTGGTAGACAACAATCATTCATAATTATATATAATGTATTCAAGGTAAAAATGACTGCACTTTAATTTTACAAGTCCCAGAGGCACTGCTATACATGTACGACAGCCTCAGCAAAAGCCTCCAGTAACAAAACTGAATTTTATTTACACAGCCTAGCACATTAAATTAATCCTTATTTCCATATTGAAAAATGTCATAAAATCATCCAGACATAAACACAGTTTGAGGAAGACACTTTCCAGATTCATTCAATGAAAATTCTACTTTTGTTCCCAGGGTACAATCCTATAAAGTATCAATCATTACATTTCAATGAATAAACCGCAGTGACATGCATTAGAAATGTGCTCTGACTGAACAAACTGTAAGCCTTAAGGCTGCTTTACAGGGCAGTAATTCATTTTGCTCCCAAACCATTAAGTTGCACAGATGAGTGGTTAGTACTAATGGGAAAATACCACATAGCAGTTTCTAAACTTAATAATCATTTTTTTCTCAAAAAGACAGAGCAAGAAAACACCATATATTAGCTGTTACAGTCTATTCTACTCATCAATTTAAGGCCATAACACAAATTGAGGCAATTTATAAACCATAAAGAATGATCTCACTGGAATAACCAAAAGTACAGGGAATGTATTTATTAGTTCAGTCTCACTCTCCCTCTCTCTGTATAAACAAACAACGCTTGCACCTCTCTTGGTAATCTAATAAGTTACTAACACCTGTTTGCTGTTGGCAATCTGATATACCTGTTTTCCCTAATCACTCCAATTCCCCCTTGGATTGCATTTTCTACTGCACCTCTGCTCCTTCTAATTGGATGTCTGCTTGCTTTTTGAAACTCTGTTTTTCCAAAACTGGGCTGCTTGTTACCCTTCTTTACTCTCCATTCTCATTCTACCTTTGGAACAGAGGTGCTGACATCCTTTTCCCCCAGGAATCCTGCTACATTGGTATAAATTTTGACTTGTACTCAGTCCCTCTTCAAATCCGGTCTATTTTTAAATTATACTGATTCTATCTTCAAAAACAATCCAAGTACCGCATCTCGCTGTAGTAATTAATGTGTCAAGAGTACCCTGGTGCCTTGTCCGCAGTTTAAACGGTTTTGAACAGCTTGACTTCTTACTTGGGGTCTGCTGGGAAGATCTGACGCAGGAACTTCCGTTAGCTCTCCTGAGCTAAGCCTTTCTGTGCAAGGATTGACTGAGTGCATCAGCTGATCAATTTCACTCAATTAACTAAGCACTGCAGGCTTTAGCTTAGGATAGCGAGCAAAAGCCACACTACAGGGCACTCCAGGCACCACAACCACTAAAGTGAGCTGTTGTGTTTATGGTGCTTGGACTGTTTCTTTAAAAACATAAGTTCTCTTTCTCATAGTGTTTTGTTACTGAAACTTATTCTAAGCTATACCCAATCCATGATGAGTGCTGAAACCATTCTTTCTAACCTACCATTCTTCTCATACCTCCTTTGCTGATCATTTTGCTGGCATGGCGTAGATTTAGAAATATATTAAAACTCTTAACACTCCCCTACAAAGTCCCCACAACATTACCACAACCCTTGTATCCTAAATAATCAGGAAATAGGTAACATTTTATTCTATTATTCTTTGTATTTGTGATCTTGTTACCCAACTACATAATACTTCCATAGTCCTGACTATAAACCTCTCAGCTGGTGTAATGCCTGCAAAAGGACAACTGCCGGCTTACAGGTGCTATTTTTCCAACTTCGTTGGCTTTGCTCATCACTGCTATTGCTAAGGGTAAGTAATACCTTTCTTTCATTTCATGTTCTGTCCTTTCATTTAACTAATTAATGACTAATTTTCCACAATCTTGAGTATTGCATCTATCCTCTGTTCGTATGTTCATACTTGATTCCCACCTATCACCCCAAAATGTTTTAGGGCCGCCCAGTTCTCATGGAATGCCTTCCCTTATTCCATCGGGCTTAACTCAAGCCGTAAGCCCTGAAAGGAATTCCTAAAAACACACTTCTTAAGAGAGCCAATTATCTGTTAAAGTCCTCTCCCTTTTACAGTTCAGCTTGTTTCACTTTAAAAAAACGTGTTTGCTCACCGAATGGTCCAACGCTTTTCACCTATCTTCTCTGTTGCTTCCATCTGTTATGCATTTATGGAAATGCTGCGTATTCCTAAAAACTCTGCAATCCTCCCCAATACGTTTAAAGGGTTACTCTAACCCTTTGTAAAACACCTTACAATACTTTGGTAACTTACTACTTTTAAACCTGGAAAAAAGAGAGTAAACTTAGCTGCTCTACACTGTCATCCCTCCGTTTAGGCACTGCCCAGTCTGCATTTCATTGGAATATTTCACCAGCTCAGAGCACAGCAGGGCTGGACTGGGCTAAAAATTAGTCCCGGGCATTTTTTTATCACAGCGGCCAACTGAGAAGTGTATGCCTCTATGAGTCTGTGTGTGTGTGCCTGATTGGGTTTGTTTGTAACTGTCTATGCCTATGTGTACTTGTCTGAGTCAGTGAGTGCTTGTCTGTGTGTACCCATCTCTGTAGGTTTGTGCCTGTATGTACCTGTCTGTGTATGTATGTGCCTGTCTGCACCTGTGTACCTGTGTATGCCTATACTTTTCTATATTAGGTAGATTAGAAGATTTTCTTGGGGGATAACTCAGGAACACAGAGTAGCTATGTTAGAGATGCTTTGCCATCTTATCACGATTATAAGTTTTGGAGGCAATAGTAAGCATGCCTAGAAAGTCTAAGAAGCTATTCTAGGTACCTAAATATGTATCTTTTTCAGTATCTTTTATTTGTCTTGGCATAATGATTAAATGGTTAGTAATTTTTGGAGAGCAAAAAATGGGTCGCAAGAGTATTCTGAGAACAGACAGCAGCTAAAATAGCTTGCCCTTCGGTGGGTCCCCGCTCAGAACTCAAGCTGGTTTTAGCTCATCTTGTGCCATTACAGAGAGAACATATCTGAAGCATATCAGACTTGTCCCACCCATACGGGCAGTCCAGATCCGAAATGCCAGCAAGCTCTCTCTGCACGAGAGATACAGCAACCGCAGACGATCGCTTCAGCCTTGTTAGGCATCATCAGTGAGGCATAGCTGATATCTCTCTAGGCACCGTGAGCAAGGTGTCCACGTCTGGATTACCCTTTAAACTAATGGAGAGCAAAAAATGGGTCGCAAGAGTATTCTGAGAACGGACAGCAGCTAAAATAGTCTGCCCTTCAGTGGGTCCCCGCTCATAAATCAAGCTGGTTTTAGCTCATCTTGTGCCATTACAGAGAGAACATATCTGAAGCATATCAGACTGGTCCCACCCATACGGGCAGTCCAGATCCGAAATGCCAGCAAGTTCTCTCTGCACGAGAGATACAGCAACCCCAGACAATCGTTTCAGCCTTGTTAGGCATCATCAGTGAGGCATAGCTGATATCTCTCTAGGCACAGTGAAATGCCGGCAAGTTCTCTCTGCACAAGAGATACAGCAACCCCAGAGGATCATTCCAGCCTTATTAGGCATCATCAGTGAGGCATAGCTGATATCTCTCTGGGCACCGTGAGCAAGGGGTCCACGTCTGAATTACCCTTTAAACTAATGGAGAGCAAAAAATGGGTCTCAAGAGTAACAAGGCTGAAACGATCGTCTGGGGTTGCTGTATCTCTCGTGCAGAGAGAACTTGCTGGTATTTCGGATCTGGACTGCCCATATGGGTGGGACCAGTCTGATATGCTTCAGATATGTTCTCTCTGTAATGGCACAAGATGAGCTAAAACCAGCTTGAGTTTTGAGCGGGGACCCACCGAAGGGCTGACTATTTTAGCTGCTGTCCGTTCTCAGAATACTCTTGCGACCCATTTTTTGCTCTCCATTAGTTTAAGGGGTAATCCAGACATGGACTCCTTGCTCACGGTGCCTAGAGGGATATCAGCTATGCTTCACTGATGATGCCTAACAAGGCTGAAACGATTGTCTG